TTCCCTTATCAGTATGCTTTTGTCTCTTTCTTTCTACATGTTACTCATTTGCTTGCATAGGAATCTTTACACCCCACTCCAAAAGATACTAAGGACATTGGTGCAATTGAGATGAGGGTGTGAAAAGGATGGGGTTTTTCAAAAGGTTGGTCTTTGAAGGAATGAACTGTGGATAATAAAGTTTTTTTACTCTCAATATTAAAGAGAGATATTTTAATTCTACATACAATCATTTTCCTACTTGTAGCACGTTACAGAAAAAAGTTAATGTCGTCTTCACTTCTTTTATTAGGAGTCCTTAGACATTCCTTTAAAAAGAAAAATCCAAAACACTCAGAAATGAACAAGTTTTTTTTGGACAGTTTGCATTTTAGGGCTAATCTACTAGGTAAAGCTTGTCCTGTACATTTAGCACATCAGCTTGCTCCTACATGTGAGCGAAAGTTGCTGAGAGCTGTGTTTATTAAAAATATTGCTAGATTTTAAAAAATATGCTCTCCTTGAAAGCCGAGCATAGAGCCAAACATCACAGAGCACAAAGGATCTGGAAAGATGTTTAGAAAGCAAGATTGCCAGCTGTGTCACTGCACAGAAAGTTTGGAACATGAATTAGCAACCAAACTGTCAACTATGTGTATTAAGATAGGATACCAGTCCAGAAACCTATCCCTTGGCACTCTGCGGATATCAAGGAAACAAAGGCACATGAGAAAGGCAGCCAACTTCAACCTCATCTTCCTGTTTTGAAGAGACTCTTGAGCCTTTCTTTTCGTACAGAAATGCACAGAACAGTTTGCCCTTTCTCATAGACTGAACTGAAATCACTTTGTATGAGTTCCTCTTGCGTGGCTACCTTGCAGACTCAACGTAGAGAGGGTCATTCATTCCTATGTCTACATGTAAATACATGCATTCCTACTATAAGGCTTGTGGCCATTGCTGCAATTTAATCTATTTCATAAATGTGAATGTATATAATTATGTGAAGTTTTATCATTTCAAAGCTAGAGGTGAGCTGTCCATCTCCTTTTAAGAAGCTCTGGTTGACTAAGGGGGACAGAAAACCTCAGATTATTCCTGATACCAGACAATAAGTGTTGATTCTCTCTAGTGAAGACAGTCATTACAGAGAATAATCACATATAACAGAATGAATCTCCTTTAACTTATGCCTGCCAGGAGGTGTTAAAATATAGAAGTATCTGCTTGTATGTCTTTCCACATATTTACATACTACTATGTCATCCGTGACTGTACCTCAAAAATATTAATACTTCTGTATGTAGAATAGTTACACAGGGGAAAAAAAGGATTATCTCCATTTTATAGATATGATTCTGAGTCAGGGGAGATATCATAGGAGCTGTGTAAAGAAATTTATGGGACATCAGCACAACAAAATTCAATGCCATGTAGACTTTCCCAGCACAGATTTACACAGTTTAGGTCAGACATCAACACCTAATCTACCCTGCTTCCAAGTAGCAGAAATGAGAGAGACCAGAGCACCAGGCTGACTGACAGTACTGGGTCAGGGACCTGTGCTAACACTTTCAGAGCTAGTTTGGGCTGTTTCATCATACCCACAGTGAGTCTGTGACAGAACTGAGAAATATGTTCAAACCTCCTGAATCCAGTGTTAAAAACAGGAACTTCCTTTCTCCCTGGAAAGCTCTGATAATCCTAGAAACTCAGATTTCTTGTCACAAAGCAGAGAGGAAATTTCCAATCCTAGACTGATGCCCAGCCTTCTCTTGATAATATATAGTGCAACTAAGAAAGGTGATAAATCGATAGAGTTTATTTATATCCTTGGGTAAGCGACACTAGCAAGCCAGGACAGCTGACAACTGAAGGCTGGCCTTCCCTCCCCCATCTTTTGGGCAGAATTTCAAGTTGGCTTGCTGGACTGGGCAGGCAAGGGAAAGCAGCAGTTCCAAAATGAAGTAGAATGAAATTCTACTTGGAAGGTGACAAAAACAGGACACACACAACTGCATTCATTTGAGTGAAGTCTCCCTGCATGAAAAGTAGTTAGCAGCATCATCAGGAAATGGAGACATAGCTGTGAAAGCCAGCATGAGCCTCCCTGCTCTCCACATCACAGAGAAGGCATCAGGTGGCTCCTCACCCCAACTGCTAATACCTCTGTGTACTTAAAAGTCTTTATTCTGATTGCTATCATTCAACTCCCTGCTCTCTGGTTTGATGTAGCTCTCTCTTCTCCGGCTCTTCCGCACACATTTCATAACTCCAGACACACTTTTTACCCTATTCACACACATTTTGGCTTCTATTTTTAGTTCTGATAAAATAATGCCAGATGAAAACAAAATCCAAGTTGGATGGGCAAAGCCATCCTCTCTACAGGCGGCTTAATGCCAAAGGGCCAGATGTGAAACAGAACCCAAGGAATTATATAACCTCTCCCAGTCATTGCACACCTGATCTTAAATGACATTTCCAACACAGCAAATAAATATAGGCAGTTCACCATCACCTAACTACTGAGAACACACAAAGCTTAACTCCCAAACAGGTAAAAATGCCAACTGCCTGAAGTCATTACTTATTCTGCTTAGGAGTTTTCTTTGAGTCCGTCAAAAGTGAAGGCTCCTAAAATTCAAGCTAGGGTCTAGTTCTTAAATAAGGAAGCCAGTTTCTAGAGATTGTCCTTTTCTTTCTCTCCTACTTTCCCAGCATTTCTGAGACTTGGAATGTACTTTGAAGAGAATGGGACCGGTAAGAACAGGAAAATGCTCCTTCCTTTCACAAAAGAAGGCAAAAGATTGACTAAAGGTCTGAGAAGCAGGCTGTTCTCACAAGTTAAGGAATAAATGTAATTTCTGATCACTGACCCTCAGTTCTAGCTGAGAGGTGATGTCTGAGTTTGACATTATTGTGTTAAGAACACTGCTTTTGGAAAAGAGCTTTATACTCTGCTGGGATTTGATGAGACTTCCACACAGTTTTCTGGTAAGTGAATAAACTCAGGCATACAAAAGCATGCCCTGCTGTTAATTTTAGAGAGCCACCTTGATGGTGTCTGTATTCTAAAGGTATTTGTTAGAGACATCAATATCTGCTCATTGCTAGTCACACGGTAACGGTTACCTCCTCCTCCAAAAAGTACTGAGAAATGTGTTAAGAAGGTGGTCCTTCTTTCCCTCTCTTTTCCTTTCTGATCCCTCTGGTGCTATAGGCTTATCTGTCATTATCTGACCTGGGATAATTATCCATCAACAACTATGCCAGGGACTTATTTTCCCGTTTGTCCTCTTTATGGAACTATAGATGTCAGCAGGGGAGAGAGAGGGAAGTTCCTGGATGCTTTTGTGATACTTGAAAGAACAATGGTTTTAGAAAGATGATTCTAAGAACAAATGTGAAATCCAATACCCTCCATCATAACTGATTCTTTGCCCTCCCTAAAAGGGATACACAACAGCAGGATTCACCTCATCTTTACCACATCAAGTTCCACTCCTTTCCAAAGTATGATGAAATGGACTAATTGTGTTTCTCAATAACCCTTTCTCTGCAGGGAGACAGCACAACAGAGAAGGCAGAGAGATGCTGACAATGTTATTACCACTGTTGCCAAAGGTTGTATGCAGGGTGAGAGGCTGCACTGGAAATGTTTGATCCAGTGCTAGAATTCAGACCATTTTTTCCTTTCAGCAATCCACAAAAAGCTTTTCAGCCAGACAGGTGGTTCTGGAAAGATTTATGGGAAGAGTTCATCATTATTTTATTCCCGGACTAGGATAAGCAATGAGGTGACATCAAAAGTTGCTCTTTCATGTCATAAGACATTTCGTGCATGAGTAGCCAAAGTAGGCTGAGGTGGAGGTTACTCGAGGTGCTCATTTGAAGGTCACCTTTCAAAGTCAAGGCCACTTGTGCAGTCAGTCACAGCTATGAGAGAAGACCAGGAGGGTGGCAAATGAAGAGTGGAATTAACAGGATTAGTGTGAGGGAGGAGGCGTACCAGAAGTGTGCAGTGCAGAAACCCGAGTGATTTCTGCTCCCAGCTGCTCCTGATGAAGGATTTGGACAGATACTGTCAGTGTGGTGAGACCAGCTGAAACTGTAACCAAGGTTCCTCTAGGGAATGTGGTATCAACATAAAAATAAATACATTAGTGTTCAACAACCTACTGCCTCCCCGGGCTGCAGGGGAGCCTGGCAGAAGATGAGGAAGCCTGGACAAGGCTAGGCAGCTGGGAATTCCACTCTACTGCAGCAAATGGCTGGGTGTCTGACACAGGCCATGCACAGTGGCAGTGCTATGCATCCCATCACTCCAAGAAAACCAAGAGACAATGGCTGATAAAAGAATGTCCAAGTTCTGTGCATCTTCTGTGTTTAGATCTGGCAAATAATAGGAAGTGAGTTTAGGTGTCATGTTTAAATGTCCGTTAAGTTTATATGACTTTTTTTTTTCTCTTGCTGGTGCAGGGCAACTTTGACACTTACACATTTGTATACCTGCAGAAAGAACTCTTGAATTT